GGTCTAAGCCGTTCATATACAGTTTGAATTGAATAGTAGTTGTAGTAGTTGGAAATTTTGTCTTTACCTTCTGCAGCATATAGCAATCTTCATTTTACGTTTCATTCTCTACTTTGACGAGCAAAAATCGCGTGGTGCCCTTGAAATGAAGGGTTCGCGGAGATTACAAGTCACAATCTACAAGGCCAGTTTGCATACTGCGCTCACAAATAAAACTCTCGCATTCATTGATCTTATTCTCAAACAAATTCAACGCATATTCCGAAGTTCACGCCAAGTATCCTTTACAGCTTCCTTTCAGCATCAAAGATCCCCTAGGTTAGAATTCTGAGAAATCAAAGATGCTAGCCATTTTAGTGTGAGGCTGTGATCTGTCGTGTTTATACAATTCCCGCACCAACTAAAAGTAAACGTTTTTCACAGATTCAGAATAACACATAAAAATGCGAAGAAATTATTTAGCTGTAAATTATCAAAATCTTGCAAACTTGGTCTAGTTATGCTGCATTGAACCTGCAGATTGTTCTTTCCCTCCCCCCCCTCCTCTTCCCACCAGCTCCTCTCCCACTCCTTACTAGCGGCCGAAGAAATGAACATCACTCATTTCGTCAATTTTATGCTTCCGGAGCTCCAGAAATCTGAATCCTTCTAATTTTCTTGAAGGTTTTCCTTAAGCGGTATTCTCAAGTATTTGTGCTCAATATAGACCCCCCTGGTCTTTGCTCTGACTTGATCGCACACTTGCAACAACTACTCTGTTCAAAACCCTCCTTAGTTTGTCCATCAAGCATTGGATGAGGTTGCCAAACTACTCGTATAAATATGACCGTGGCCATCGTTATTTGTGTGTCAACTGGCATATCCGTCTCCGCCCGCCTTCCCATAATGTTTTCGTGATCAGCATACCTTTCTACCCCCCACCCCCTCCGTGGCAACTCCATCCTGTAGCTCAATCAATAAAAATAATTGACAGTTCAAAAGCTAATACTGTATTCGTAATCAGCATGCTCACTTACCCCTCTGTGCCAACTCCCAGCCACGTAGGTCAAACTTTGCAAAAAAATCGATAACAATCTATAACGATATTCATTGATGACGAAAAGTAGCCTATAACACCCTCCCCCCCCCCCCTCCACCCTCCTTCCGAAGTGTATGTGTGCCAGGTTTGGTCCGGATCGGTTCAGGGATAAAATCTATTCGGAACATACTCACAGACAGGCGCACAGACATACATACAAACAGACATCCAGCTTCTAATATATAAAAGTGAATGTCTGTCTGTCTATATGTCTGTATGTCTGTCTGTCTGTCTGTCTGTCTGTACGTATGCTTCGAATAAAGAATTTCGTTTCTGGACCGATCCAGACCACTTGGCACACATACACTCGGGGGGGGGGGTGTTGCAGGCTACTTTTCGTATCGATCGATATTTATTTTATCGATTTTTACCGATCTTTTGAAATTGAGATACGAGGCTGGGAGTTGGCACAGGGGTAAGTGGGCATGCTGATTTCGAAAACAAAACGCGGGAACTGGCTCTGGCTTGTAGAAGTGGGCAAAGGGAAAGGTTGTGCGGGGATATAACGGGACCTTCATCATAGTTTTGATAGGGCCGGGCGGAGCCCGGTATGCCAGCTAGTTATACAGGGTGTCCCAAAAAAATGTGAACACTGTTTGATCGTTAATAACTCCGTTGCTTTCATGTCTTTCACCGAGCTTGAGGCACCATTTTGTAGAGCGAGGTTGAACTTAGATTTGCAGTATGGAGCGAACCATCGATCGCCTCCCGTTACTGTACGATTACGGTATGAATTTTTGACATCATTGTGAAATATGCCATCTAACAAAATTTTTTTCAAAAAATCTGAAAAATGATGTACTAGGGTTTTCGTTTACGCTGATTCCACTACAGAACTTTTTGCGATGTTTTCAGCCTTTTTGACGGTGTACTCACATTTCTCACAAATGCTGGGAATTGAGTTATTACGATTTACCGGAGATAACTTAGGAAAGAACCATCACAGTAAAATGGGAATTTCAAATTTGAAATCAGCGGCTGCCATTACCATAGTATAAGGGTTTTTGGCTTGTTTGGTTCTGTTCTGAGGCAGAATATGGCCTCAACTGCCTAAAATCCTTGTCGAAGTTTTTACCGTAATCCTACAGTAATGAAGAGCGATAGATGATTCGCTCCATACTGTAAATCTAAGTTGAAGCCACCTCTACAAAACGGTACCTGAAACAAGGCAAAAGACTTGTTGGGAAGAAAGATATTAACGATCAAACAGTGTTCACATTTTTTTGGGACACCCTGTATATAAGAATGCTCGTTCGAAAATTCCTTGCTTCCTTGTATACTTTTAGAAAATGGTTCAATACAAGCTCACGTATCTTCCAGTATGCAGAATTGCTGAAACAGCTAGACAGGTAGAAGTTGAGGAGATGTGATTGCTCGAAGTATAATATCAAGTTTATATTTGAATCATAATTGATGGATGCGCTTCTTTCAAGCGCTGGTTTTAAAAGAACCCCATTTCTGAAAAATTCATGCCACCCGAAAGAGCTTTTTTTTCTAGTTTCCTATGTATGCTTAAATTTTCGTAGATTTCTGTTCATCCAAAAGTTTCATGTCTTTATTAAAAAAAACAATTGTCAAAATTCCTCTTACGTCTTGCCTCAAATCCATAAAAACGAAGTTGTTTCAAAAAATTTCCGTTACCATTGAGGAGTCTTGTGCTACATAATGCTTATTGGAGCAAAATCTCCAGTGAATCCTGTACCGAGGAGTTTCATCGCAAACTTGGGTAATCGTTGGGGTTCCTCCGGGCCGTCTAAGAATCCTAACACGTTGACGACAGTGCCCGCGCAATGGTGCGCGGCAGGCAGTCTGTACCTGTGGACGACACCGTGCAATGGTGCTCGACGGCCTTAATTTTAATACTACCTGCTCAATCCTCTCAGTTTTTGTTCATGTAATCAACATAGACTCAGATGTACTTCGTGTATTAGCCCCGCCCTTTTTTGCGAACTCCGCCCAACCCTATGCCTCTCACAAAAACCCTTTTTGTCCATAAAAAGCATGGAGGAGGCCGTAGATGAGCGCAAAGACCTTGAGCAACGAGGTCTTGCCCACCGTTAGGCAAACTCCGCCCCCTAAGTGGCAAGCTCCACCCATTCTCAAGAATGGCGGAATTTACATGATCACATAAGATTTGGGCCAGTTCATTTTTGGCCTAGTGGGCGGAGCTTCCACAAATTATATTTCGTGCATGGATGCATGCATACATACATGACTCAGGCGTAGGGATACACGGAAACGTCCCGTCGACAAGGACGACCTCATAAAACTGGCTCGTCATCAATGTGTTAAGCAGAAAGAAAGACTGCAGAATTTTCGCACTGTGTAAGGGTGCACCTAGCTCATTCAGTGGTGGAGAAACGGTAGAATTTACGCAAATGCAGCAGAGAAAAGGAAGTTTTTCAACGAAGGCAGTTTTCGAGCCCGCAGGGATGCCAAAAGTGAGGACTTTTAAGTTTTTCGCAATATTTCCTCTCAATAAAATTCCCAAAAATTCAAACAAATTCAAACTTGGCATCATGCTTACAAGGGAACGATACTCGGTGTCCGTGGCCTTTTGTGATGAGATGTATACCATTACACTCGTCTTGGAACGCTGATTCCAAATCTTACTTCCGTTTCTGCTAATCGCCTCAAAGATTTTATCATGGATCGCGCGGATTTTGGCTGCCCAGTGAAATACCGTGGGAGCTGCAATGGCGTAGGTGTGCTGTGGTTAGTGGTTAGTGCGACAGCGTCATGAGTTGATGCAGGTGTAGGTTCGAGTCCTTTTGTGTTTTTCAGTTTTGCGTTGCCTCCATTAACCTTCTTTCGCATCCTCAAGCTAAGTGAACGCCCTCACTCTTCAAAAAATGTGAAATTTTGGAAAAAATGACTACTATTTGCGTTGAAATGTATCCAATGGTCATTCGAGTAAACTTTCTCGAACAATCTTAATCGAGGCAATGCAAAAGTAAAAACACAAAGGATTTAAACCTACACCTGCATCGACTTATGAGGCTATCGCACTAACCATTAGACCAGAACGTGGTCGCTGTAGAGGCCATTCCAATGACCATATTTCCCTTAAGCGGCCAAACTTGGATCGAAATTCCTCCATAACTTCTTTCAGGGAAACGATTAGCAGAAACGAAAGTCAGATTTGGAATCAGCGTTCGAAAACGAGTGTAATGGTATACATATCGTCTCAAAAAGCCACGGACATTAAGTATCGTTTCCTTGTTAGCCGATGTTTAGCTACACGATGAGCAGAGTGTGCTCTCTTCTACTAAATTACAGAGTAAGTTGTGCAGTTTCAAAGTGTAGGTTTCCAAAAAAGAGTTTCCAAAAAGTTTTCTTTGCCGTCTTTAGGCTAGAAAATCTTCCTGGCTTTTTGGCTACACTTATATAAAAGTATGTGTTGTATAGTCCCAAAAAGTTACTATAATATTTACAGCAGTTTTTATTGCGCTCAAAAAGATCTCAAAAGGTATACTTCTGTTCAAACTTGAATTATAGAAAACGTGTAATGATCATGAACCAACGTAATATAATTTTTATATTCCAGATATTCGCTTTAGCTGGACAGGACTTTGAGGACAATCGAGTAAGCCGCGAGGAGATTGCAGCAATGAAACCCATTCAGACAATCGACGGGACTTCTCCGCCGGACAGTCCGAAACTGCCAGAGTCGCGCCGGACCCAGTTGACCAATGAGAGAGGGGCAAATGGGGGTCCATCGCGGTGACATCACTGCAGGCAAGTGGGAGGCTTCTCCGGCCCTGCTGCAAAGGTCCGCCATTTCTCCGGCGCGACTCTGCCAGATTTGGCGGACTCCGCGCCGGAGAAATTTGCCCGGCGCGAGTCCGCCAAATTTGGAAGAGCCGCGCCGGAGAAAATGGGAGGGGTCCGGAGCAGAAATGGGAGGCCTCCGGAGCAGAAAATGGGAGGTATCTGGAGCAGAAATGGGAGGCCTCCGGAGCAGAAAATGGGAGGTATCCGGAGCAGAAAATGGGAGGTATCCGGAGCAGAAAATGGGAGGTCTCCACCGGAGAAATGGGAGGGCTCCGCCGAACAAATTAGAGGTATTCGGAGCAGAAAAGAGAGGTATCCGGAGCAGGCTGCGTATCGATTTGGCGCGTAGCAAGCAAACGTCTAACTCCACGGTAATGAGTCCTCTGTTTACGCTCTTTGTCCATATTTTAGTCGCCGTTTCTTTGATTTTGTTGTTTTTGCGCGTTTCTTTACCGTTTTTTTTCTTTTCCGCGTTGCTCTTCGTCGCGTTGGCCTTTATGTTGTTGTAAGTTCCTCGTTTTCAGGTTTATGTTTCAAATTTTCGTGCGGTTGCCACTCAATCACCTTCAGTGTCAGCTTAAGCTCAAAATCTGCCTCCAGGCGAGTTGTTTCTTGAATGTCGCACTTTTATGTTATGTTTTTTTGAATTCAATTATTCTCTGCTCTTCTTCAATGGCTCCATGCTGCTGTGTTACCGTGTGAAATTGAGTTCTGATCTTATGAAATCATAATTTTAGTTGCTGATGCTGGCGATAATCATACACTTCCCGAATCTTCCATCGTTCTTAATGGCAATGCTAAGGACGATGGCAGCATTGTTAGCTACCAGTGGACACAAGTCTCGTAAGGCTTCTATTCAATCCAAAACCGAATTCTACTTCTTTTTTGTTTTAGAGGTCCTGCAAATGCTTTGTTGGTGAATGCCGACAAAGCCAAAGCAACAGCATCGGGGCTGATAGAGGGTCATTACGTGTTTATGCCGTTGTGGAAGACGATGGAGGTCTGAAAGCCAACGCATCTGCATTTATCAGCGTGGAAAGGAGTAAGCTTTCACTTCTACAGCTTTGGCTATACAAATGAGGTCCGTTTTAGATAAAAATGAACCCCCAGTTGCGCGAGCCTTCAATGCCACTGATCTTCATTGTGGGAGTGGCGTTTGCTGCTGATTGGAAAGTGGCTAATGTCGAGAGGACTATCGATCTGTCATCTCAGGTGGGATCTTCACACTTTCCATTTTTGCAATGTTCTGCTATACAGAGCAGGCATATTCCACAAAGTTTGACTTCATCCGATTCAGAAGAAAATACAGTGTTCCAAAAGCACTGATGATTTGCCATTTTTACGTGCTTTTCGTTTTATATATCATCTTTTCTAACTTTGTGATAAGTTTCATCACTTTTGCAAGTTATGATGAAAAGAGCATCCATACTCTTGCTTGTTGTTGCATCATCATAGAAACAGCTCTTAGAAATCTAAGAGCTGTTTCTATGATGATGCACAATCTAATAGGAGGCTAAGAGCAGCTAGGAGCGGCTAGCAAATGGCATTAGATTCATTATTAGCTTGTATAGAATCGCTACAAAGAAGCATTTTTTCAATAGGCTCCACTTTACCAATTCAGACGATTTTACCAGCGTCGGCCAAGGATATATACTATAGAGATGAGATTGGAAACATATCAACATCAGCTGTGCGACTTCGCGCTGATTCTGTTGATGTCGAACTGAAACCGAGTTACATGTCACGTACTTATTGCCTCTGTTAATATTTTATTCCTTTTTATCGTTCAGATTCCCGCTTTTTGGAGGATGGCGCACTTCCTACGTTATCGGTTATAATGTGCCTTCTTTCGAATATCTTTACAATAAGGGCAATAATTATGCGCTAGAAATGAGAGTTCTCGACCATATTTTTGACAATGCTGTGGTTGAAAAGCTTACGACGAAAATCATCCTGCCAGAAATGATAAGGTAAGCTCTTGATCACCACTGTCAGTCTTGAGAAAAAGGGTCATATAGTTTAAATTGTTGAGAAGGAACCAACATATAATTGGGGTGCTCGACAAACAAGCCACCCTTTGTTACACATTGCACCTAACCTTTTCCGATGTGTAACGCATCTCTGCTTTTTAAAATTCATGTTTGATTTTAGAAAAGCGAGGCTTATCACACCATACAGCATGGATAGAAGACCCGATGAAGTCCGCGCTACATACTTGGACACAACTGGCAGAACAGTTATAGTGTTGCAGAAAGAAAACCTTGTTCCAGAGCATATCCAGTCTTTCCTGTGAGTTGCTCTTCGATCTGAATAAATCGATGTTCTTTTTTGCTAGAATTTGGAAATTATGCCATACATTTTCAGCTGTTTTACGATTGAGTTCTCGCAAATGATCCGCGAACCATTGCTCGCCACGGCATTTTTCTTTGCACTCTTTACCGTTGTAATTATCTATGTGCGGTTCGACTTCACAATCGTTGCGGTAAGTTACGTTTTGGAAAGTTTGTCACATCTCTCGACCGTTTTTGCCCTGATTCATTGAACTAGTTTATTCGATACTCGATCTTTGCCTATAAATCGAAATATTTTAGGATCCGGCACGTGAAGCACGCGAACGTATCTTACAAGGGAACGATACTCAATGTCCGTGGCCTTTTGAGACGAGATGTATGCCATTACACTCGCCTTCGAACGCTGATTCCGAATCTGACTTCTGTTTCTGCTAATCGTTTCTCTGAAGGAAGTTATGGAGGAATTCCGAGCCAGCTTTATCCGCCAAGGGTATGGTCACCAGAACGGCCTCTACCGGCGCCATGTTATTTTCTAGTGGTTAGTGTGATAGCCTCATAACTTGATACAGGTGTAGGTTCAAATCCTTTTGTGTTTTTGTTTTGCACTACCTCAATTAAAATTGTTCGAGATTCACTCGAATTATGGTCATTGGATACATTTTAACGCAAATAGTAAATTTTTTCCAAATTTCCACATTTTTTGAAGAGTAAGGGCGTCCAGTTAGCTCGAAGATGCGAAAGAAGGTTTATTGAGGCAATGCAAAACTGAAAAACACAAAAGGATTCAAACATACAGCTGCATCAATTCATGAGCCTATCGCGCTAACCGCTAGACCACAACGCACCGTCATTGTTGCCGCTTCGAACGTATTTCAGCGGAAAGCCGAAGCCCGCACAATCCTTTACAACATCTTTGAAGCGATTAGCAGAAACGGAAGTCAGATTCGGAACCAGCGTTCCAAGACGAGTGTAATGGTATACAACTCATCTCAAAAAGCCACGGACACCGAGTATCGTTTCCTTGTTAGGAAAGGTGTCGGGTCTTTTCGAGACTTTTTACTTTAGCAAGTATATTTTCTTTATATAGGGATCCTTAAGGGTAGGGTAGCTATTGTTCATCCTAAAGTGAGAAATTGAACAACCCAAATGTGGAATTTTGTTTTCCCCATACTATCGTATACCGTCGGAGAAGCTAAAGTTTGTTTCAAGTAACTGTTTGACAAGTTTCGATTAGTATCCGTTAACAGATTCCAATCATTTTCTTAAGTCTCAGAGTTTACGTTATTCTTTTGTTTTATAGGGAGCAGATGAGGAGCGCAATTTACGACGAGCATCTCTAGCACTGGCTCATCAAAATAACAAATTCAATCTTGGCGCTGTTCCCGATGACATCAGTGGAGAAAATTCGTTCTTCATATATGCAAGCAAATAAATAATATGGGCCAACTGCGACTGCAATTTAAATGTTCCACAAACCGTTGTCTTGTTGGAAAGGTTCATTTTTTTACACCAGTGGGTGTGAAATGATTAACGATATAAGATGATTTTTCGAAAGTTTGAAAAATTTGAAATAAATGTCTTATCTCTTCTCTTTCTTCTATCTTCTATCCACAAACGCTAGGGGTGAGAGGGAGGGGGTAGAGTACGGGGTGAGGGTCGCGCTAAACTCCTACCCGGGGGGGGGGGGGGTCCTACTCGGCTTATTTGGGTGGGGTTTAGAGACAAAATTGGGGTTTGGAGCTTAAAGACAGCGTCCAGGCAAGTCTGGACCTATGGGGATTTTACATGGAAAGTACTTTTGGGACCCTAACTAAGCCACTACCCAACTGGCAGCTCAAGTAGTGCTCTAACGCCTGAGATATTCTGCTCGAAACTGGACCCCGCGACCGTGTTTCGCATGGATTCATGGCGCAAAGCGTGGATCCTCGCGCGAAACTGCCATGAATCCATGCGAATACGTTCGCGGGGGGTCTGTTTCGAGGGGAATATCTCCGCCATTAGAGCACTACCTAAACTGCTGCTTCGGCAGTGCCTTAGTTAGGGCCCCAAAAGACTTTCCATGTAAAAGCCCCATAGGTCCAGATCTGCCTGGAAGCTGCCTTTAATTAGGGGTAATTACAGTATGCCGCGGCAGACTTGCGGAGCACAAAATCGGGGGGCTCCGGAGCAGAAAATGGGAGGTATCCGGAGCAGAAAATGGGAGGTATCCGGAGCAGAAAATGGGAGGTATCCGGAGCAGTAAATGGGAGGTATCCGGAGCAGAAATGGGAGGTCTCCGCAGGAGAAATGGGAGGGCTCCGCCGGACAAATGGGAGACCCACCGCTGGGGAAACGCCGCAACCCTGCCATTTCTCCGGCGGAGGGGTCCTATCCGCTGTCTGAGAAGTTAGTGACCAAATTTTAGAAAGATGTTAGAAGATTTAAAATCGACTTATTGATTGCCATGCTAGAAACACCATTCGGGCAGCTTCCGGTGCTCGATGTCGACGGCACACAAATAGCCCAATCATTGGCGATTTGCCGCTATTTGGCTAGAAAATTCGGTTTGTAAGTTTTTTGTTTCAGTTTCAGCATAAAATACGGAGTAGAGGGTTTTGGAAGATGGACTGGCAGAAAAGGAAGGAGGTGGGTGGGGGTTGTAGAGGAAGTGACTTTGGAATAAAGAACTGTTTGCTTTCGGTATTTGCCAGGGCTTGAGCATTCAAGGGAGCGAGGGGGGAGGAGGGGGAGGGGGATAGGAGAGAGAAGGTATCTAATCTGAACATCTCTAGCGGCCCCAAACCGTATATGGCGGTTCAGTCCCTGTGTGATTAAGGGACGTAAAGCGACATAAGCGTCATTGAATATCGAGCGAAAGCTTTGCAGGATTAGCTGGCAAATCTCCAGAAGATGAAGCTGTTGTTGATTCGTTAGCCGACCAATACACTGATTAACGCGACGAAATCAAAACATGGTTTTTTTCTGCTGTTGGACATAAGGAAGGAAATGTGGTGAGTAGCAGAGGTTAATTATTAAAACCACAATTAATTTCTCAAGTTTCTTTTAGGCCTGAGGTGGGTTCTGTATGGTAGCAAACCCCAAAGTTTTTCATTGGTACAATTTAGGTGAAAACCCATATGGAGAAAATTCACGCAATTCCAAACGTCAAGAAATGGATTGAAACACGACCAAAATCTGATCTTTAATCTAATCACAATCACCAATCTAATCACAATCAACTGATGATCATTCTGCATACCCGGTGATTTGTTGTTATGTTAATAAAATCATTTTGGTGGTTTTTTTGAGATGGACACAAAGATTGAAATTGAAAAATAGCTTTGATTTGAATGCTATCTTAGGAATTGAAGTAGGCGCGAACGAGGTGCAATTTTTACTGAAGGTTTCATCTGAATCAAGCTCCGATTAACTGATCCGTTGGTCCCAACAGCCTTCTGTAAATTTTGTTACGGTCTAGGTTACTTCTCTATGGCTTTAGTCTTGCACTGAATAACTGAAAATTTTCACAGAGAAACCGGTGCAGAGAAGTGCCATGCTGGCAAAGTGCTGTAATTTCTTTGAATTGGGATGGAAAATGCTTATAGTCAGGTCTTCTCCTTTTTGCTTTCTTCCTGACTTTTTTTTAATCATTGCATCTATGGTACGGGGTTTGCCGCTCTTATCAGCCTTTTCCATTCTTCTTAATCTACAACTTGTCGTTCACCTAATCCAAGTGCTCTCAAGTCTGTTTTCACTCATTCGGTCCATTTTTGCCTTGGTCTTCCTCGTTGTCTTTTCCCGGGAACCGCCACTGACATAGCTAACCTTGTGAGGGTTCTTCTTCTCGTCTTCTCATGTGCCTTCATGTAATCGAAGTCGTCTTTCTTGCAGTTTATTGGCTGTCGAAGCTACTTTCAAGTAGTTCGTATTGTATCATTCCTGACAATGCTACTGACTCCGTTGCTATAATACGTTCATACTGTATGTTGTGTGAATCCAATATTGCATAGAGTCTGCGTGCTCAAGTCCACAGTTAGTTCATGTAAAGGCTGCTGCAGGACGAAGGTGCAGAAGGACTATTGAGCAGATGCATTAGCGACGCCTGCGTATCTTCACCGTTGTAATTTCTGCGCTTCGTGCGCTCTGCAGCTACAAAGCAGCGTTCGCGCGCAAAGTTATTGCGCCTACGTCATGCAGCAGCCTATACACAAGTTTAGCAATATCGATCATCCATGAAACAGAAAATACAGGAGAAAGCAAAAACAGAAGAAAAAGATGGGTACAACATGAAAAATGATGAATATGAAATGTTTTATATGCCATTTGAAGAGGGATTAGCACTTGAAACCAAGAGTAAGTTCACTTTCGTTAAATCATGCAAACACATCTTCAAGAATTTTGCCATAATATCTGTGACGAAAATCTTGAAAAAAAAATGGGTTTGCATGATATTCATTGCTAAGCGCAATGAATATCATTGCATTTGAAGAACAAAATAAGAATTCCGTCAATCAAATGGTATTAGTTATAAGGTGAATATAATGGCAGATACTTTTTACCCAGTGACCTTATGATTCTAAAACACGCATATCTTCGCAAAGCAAGCAAAATAAGTCTGAAGGATGAAGGATAAAAAGTCCAACCTTCAAAAAATCATTTTCGATACCCTCTGCGGGCATGCGTTTAACCAGTTCTGGTCATAGCTATAGAGCCTAAGATTCGCGGTAATGTGCCGCGAATGAGATTGCTCGAAAGACCATTTTCGCATGTGAGGCAACGTTATACCATTAATCAGGATGCCTCCCAATTCCACTGATTTCGACCGAAGCAGAATTGCAAAACTTGAAAAGCCTGTTCGAAGATTGGTCGCAGCTATAAAGCCACCTCTTTTCAAGCACTAATGCCTTCTTTGAATAGCATCAAACGATACATTTGTTCATTTGGAGCTGCCAACTTTTTATAAAAAGAAATGCAGTGCATTTTTTGTTTGAAGTAAAAAAAGTCAAACTAATTCGAAAACTTGCTGCTTTACAGAACTTTCCAGCACTTATTTATCGGATGCAGGACTAAAGGATTTGCGGAGTTTTTGTGATAAATGCGGTGAAGACGCTCATGTCAGCGTCGCTTTATCGCTGAAGCTGACAAAAGAGCCACAACTTTTCCTTTAGGTAGACGAGCTTTCGAACCACAAAATTGAATTCTAATGCTTGGAAAACTCTTAGTACGTCGTCTGTACAACAATAAACTTATGCGCATAGCTGGTACGTCTCGCATCTCTGAGAATCTGGTCTCGCTTTGGGCGTCTTATTCAAGATTGAGTGGTGCGCTCTGCATAGTCATGACCCACCCCAACCACCCCATCAGACGGAAACTCGCTAAAAACTTTGTGTCAGTGGTTCCGTAAAATTTAATTTGATGAAGAGTTCAAAGAAGAAAGCAGAGTGACATACAACCGCCGGAGACGATCCCTCCACTTCCTGTTCTGTTATCCAGCACCATTTTATTGAATGCAGGTCTCAAGGATTTGCTGCTTTGTGTGGTAAATGCGATGAAGGCGCTCTATCAGCGTTGCTTAATCGTTGATGGTGACAAAAGATTCACAACTTTTCCTTCAGGAAAACGAGCTTTCGAGCCACAAAATTGAATTCCGATACCCGGGAAATTCTCTGATGCTTAGTACGTCGTCGTCTCAATACCCCCACCCCTCATCCCCCACATTATCGTTTGCCTACCCTAGGCATGACATAAAGGTTCTACCAAGCATATCGTTCCCTCCACAGCTCGTGTTATGCTTGTGGCGTCGCGGACGTGCCACGTGTGATTAACACATTGGCAACGTTGGCAGCAACACGTTGGCAACATGCAGCAACATGTTGGCGTGGCCAAAATGTTCTGGCAACATGTTGGGGCATGTTGCAAACACGTTGCTGCCACGTTGCCAACATCTTAGCCACACGTGGCGGGTCTGAGACGCAGACCAAGGGTAGCACGAGCTGTGGAGGGTACGATATGTAGTTACATATTCATGTGGACTTTAGCGAATTTTGAGGATTTCCGATTTTAGACCACCCAAGTGAAATGGTCATTTTTCAAACCCGGTTCATTATGGCCCGTAGTAAACCTCCTCTCAGCTCAGATAATCTGCGCCGACCCCCTCAGAAGAGATTCGTAAGCTAATCATACGATCCCCCTTGCTACAGTGCATTAAGAATAGACGCTGGGCTGACAGCCAAGCGGCCGGTCAGCTGCCGCAATGACGTGCGCTGTCTGCCCTAAGCTAAGCTGTCGCCGTCGACCTGGCTTACGGAGATAGCGTGTCTGAAAGGAGATGCAGACACAAATCCCGTAAGTTGCTCGTGAGTAACTTACGGGACACGTAAGCTTCCATGAAATTGCAGAATAAATGCGACGCACAATTGCACACATCTTCCTTGTCGTTATCTCCTAAAAAAT